TGTCAAGTTGGGGGGGGGGGCAGTTGGAAAAGGAGCTATGCACTGAAGGCAATAGCTTGGATGCACGAGCGCCATTGAGGGCGCGACTGGGCCATATCTGACAAGGTGTCTAGCCATTGATGTTGCTAGATGTTCAGCGTACACCGATGCCATGGTTGGTGTGCCTCAACAATTCTTGGTCATCATTGACAGCAGTACACTAGTAATACATATGGGAACTTATCCGCCATAATCAGGCTGCCACATCTGTTTCTTGAAAGCCAGATTACTGTGGTACTCTTATCCAACGGCCGCTACTTTACAGTCAGACCATAGTTAAGGGCCATTGGTGCTGGACACCCTAGCATCGTCTGAACCCACTCACAACTGGGAATTACACTTTGGCTGTCGCATAGTGACATCAGACGGGCAGCCTTATTGACTGCGTACGGCCGGTGGGAGGGGCAAAAGGAAATATGCAACCGGTGGTACCTCTATCTTCATATTCCTCAACTCCTCACGTCCCATTTGCGACTGTAGTTTCCGGTCAGTACGACTTACAAAGGATCACGTCCCATTTGCGACTGTAGTTTCCGGCCAGTACGACTTACAGAGGATTGAACGACTGCACGTCACCGCTTACCTCAAGCACTTCGCTTGCAATAATCCGACTTAGTCCCCCCGTTTTTATTATAGCCTTAACCGGATTGTTCTTGGCGTAGTTGCGGAATATAGATAGCTCGGGTGCGTTGTTTGGCTGTTGATCTGTATGCCGAGCTTGGCAGTTGAATCGCAAACCTTCCGTCGATCGAGGTGACATCGTCAGTAACTCAACCCAGCACTGACGATGCCACCGCGGTTGGTGGTAAAACTTTTCTAATGCACCTGCCAAACTCGACGAACAGACCAACTTCCAAGCTTTGCTCCTGTTTCCCACCGCTAATTGAACCGTTATCACTTTATTTCGCTAACCGAATGGCCCCAGAGTTTCTCGCATTCTCTTCGGCTCTCCGGACCTACCAGATTCAGTCCGAGATGTTCCTTTTCACCTGAAATCTGACGGTTTAGCGATATTGTACTCTCGATCAAAAGGAATACGTGTCCGAACTTCGAGCAACTTTGGAATTTCGCTCGAGATTCAGTGCCTAGCTCTGTTTGTTTGGGTCGTTCCACAAGCGGAGCACTTAGCGGCTTTCGAAGTTGCTGGCAGTGGCTTAGGATAACACCAACCCCAACAGAACCAGGAGCGCGGGGAAACCGATAGGGAGTTCAGCTCAAGAGCTGCCTTGGGGTCTTGAGTCCTAGTTTCACACAGACAGAACATACTACTAAGAAGCGTACATGCAAGAGCAGTTTGGTTTTCGAGCTTGTTTCAGAGTACAGGCTGCCAAATGAACTGGAAGTTGGGTTTTAAAGGATGGTTTCTAAGTTCCTGTGGCGTGGAGGTCGAGCGAGGTGTAGATATTACGGCTGGTGGTAATTCGCGGCGAACCGGTCTGTCAGTCGTATAGACGTAGCATGCTATTCGGGGTCGCTGAAAACTCTTCGACAGCTCACGACCAGTTTCGCCCGTCTTGGTGCTCATCAGGTAGATGCAATACGCAATACAGTCAACCTTATGTTAACCTTGTGCCCAAATTAGGGAGTACGGACGAGTGATTCAGCTGAAATTCAGGCAAATCCTCCGTGGAAGTCAAATCGGTATGTGAACGTGTTTGTCGGATCTGTTAGTCCCTAAGAATGTGTCTACGGAGATTTCGCTAGAAACGAGGTGAGGCTGGAGAGAAGAGCAAACATGTAAACGGAGAAGCCTCAACAGAAGACGTTTTTTGCTTATGCGCCCTTCTGTATCCAGCAAGTAAAGTTACCCAGTTGGCCCCGCCTGACGCCCGATGTGGCATGACAGTGTTAATCGTAGTTGTGGTTGTAAGTGGGCTGGGATACTGTCAGGGCGCCTACATCTA